ATGTAGTTATGTATACAGCAACATACAAAAATCAATTAAATTAATTTTATTTATATTATATTTTAATAACTGAAATTAACTAATTTCATAAAATGTATTAAAGTGAAAAATATAACCATCATTTCTTATAAAATTTTCATCTATCGATAAGCAATTATTGTCTCAAAATTCTAATTCTAATTTTAATTCAAATTCAAATTCAAATATCGAGGCTGTGCATAAGAAGTCACGTACGGCCTACAGTTGATCTTGAAACAAAACATGCCTGACTGTTGAAAAAGATAGAATGAACTATCAACGTCTAACTCACCTTGTATTTCACTCCACATTCAATAACTCAATATCAATATGAATCCAAATAATCCTATGGCACAAAACCCTATAAATCCCCCTCAGTTCCCTTCAATTTCCAAATGTCAATTTCCCCACCTCTTCTCTCCCCTCAGAAATGTTGTTTTACTCTGTCTTAAAGAGACAGAGAAAAACAACGCTCAATTTCATTATTGTATTTCATGTTCTTGTTTTCATGTCTGGTAGTAATGTCCAGGGCAAGTGCAGAACTGGTTGTGACCTTGCCTTAGCTTCATACTACGTATCCGGAGATCCTTCCAATCTTACATATATCAGCACCATCTTCAACCTTAAAATCTCAGAAATTCTTCCCTACAATCCCCAAATCAAGAATTCTGATTATATCGCCACCGATGACAGAATCAAGCTGCCATTTTCGTGTGACTGTCTGAACGGTGATTTCTTGGGTCATGACTCATACCTTTACTTACATTACCCAGTTCGGAGATACCTACGACAAGGTTGCTCAGACGGTTTATACTAACCTCACCACCGAGAATTGGGTGCATAGGTTCAATATTTATGATGACACCAGGATTCTGGACTATTCTCCGATCAATGTGACGGTGAAGTGCTCGTGCGGGGATAGAAGGGTGTCGAAAGATTATGGGTTGTTCACGACTTACCCTCTCCGGCAAGGGGACAACTTGTCGACCGTTGCGGCAGAGGCTGGGGTATCGATGGAGATACTGATCAGGTATAATCCGGGGGCCAATTTTAGTGCGGAGAGTGGACTCGTGTTTCTACCGGCAAAAGGTCAGTACTTCTTAAAGTCTTAGGTTAGCTAACCAGCGTGACCTGGTCAATATATATTGCAGCTCTAAGTTTCTCGCCATGGTGGTCTCGGCAGTTAGCAGGCGAGTCGGCGACCACACGGCAACGGTGGCCATTGATGCTTACATGGTTGTCCACAGCT